TGCCTGGCTGCCGGCCGCCATCTTGGCTGACAGTTAATTTGCATATACTCACTGATTAGCCAATGAAAAGGGTAGCGGTCATACGCTAATTACCATGTTTCTCTTTTATTAGTGTAGATTATTGACTACTAGAGGCCCAGTGCACAAAATTCATGCACGGGGGTGAGAGAGGGGGTCCCTCAGCCTGGCCTGCACCCTCTCCCAATCCGGGACCCCTTGGGAGATGTCCGACTGCTGGATTAGGCCTTATCCCACAGGGTTTGGGGGATTGGGCCTAAACCGGCAGTCGGACATCCCTCTCGAAACAGGGACTGCTGGCTCCTAACCGCTCACCTGCCTGCCTGACTGATCACCCCTAACCATTCTGCATGCCTGCCTCATTGTCCCAACCACTTGCCTGCCTGCCTGATCACCCCAACTGCTTGCCTGCCCGCCTGATCACCCCTAACCACTCTGCTTGCCTGCTTGATCGCCTTTAACTGCTCACCTGCCTGCCTGATTGCCCCTAACCGCCTCTGCCTTGGCTCCCGCCACGGCGGCTTCATCTAGAAGGACTTCCAGAATGATGTCCGGAAGGTTGTTTGGCTGTCTGGTCTAATTAGCATATTACGCTTTTATTATTATAGATGTTCCCTAAGCTTGTACTTTACATCCCTGTGACTATATTATAACTACCAATTTGTACTTTTCAATTCTTTCACCTTGTTCACCCAGCCTCCCAATCCCTCTCTCATCTGGCAATCATCAGTTTGTTCTCTGTGTCTATGAGGTTTTTAAAAATTTTTTCTTTTTAAAGAAGTATGTTTTTATTGATTTCAGAGAGAGGAAAGGAGAGGTAGAGAGAGATAGAAATATCAATGATGAGAGAGAATAATCGATTGGCTGCCTCCTGCATGCCCCCTACTGGGGATTGAGCCTGCAACCCGGGCATGTGCCCTGACAGGGAATCCAACTGTGACCTCCTGGTTCATAGGTTGATACCCAACCACTGAGCCACACAGGCCGGGTTATGAGGGCTTTTTTTTCTTTTCTTTATTTTTGTTGGTACAGATGTCCCCATTTCCCTTCTCCCCTCCCCCCCATTTGCTTGCTTTCTCTCAGCCCCACCCCTCCTTCCCCCTGGCTATCACCACATGGTTATCTGTGTCTGAGTTATGCATATCTGTTATTTGGCTAATCCCTTCAACTTCTTTCATCCAGTTCCCCCTCCCCCTACCCCTCTGACAGCTATCAGTCTGTTCCATGTATCCATGTCTCTGTTTTTGTTTTGTTCGTCGGTTTATTTAGTTCATTAGATTTCACATATAAGTGAGATCATATGGTATATGAATTTGTTTCTGTTTTGTTTTATCTATTTTGTTTTTTAGATTCTACATAAGTGAAATCATATACATTTGTCTTTCTCTGTCTGACTTACATTACTTAGCATAATACCCTCTAGGTCCATTCATGTTGTTGCAAATGGTTTAGATTTTATTCTTTTTATGACTAAGTAATATTTCATTGTATATATGTAGCGCATTTTTTTCATCCATTCAGCAAGGGATATTGGAGCATTTAATCCATTTACATTTGAAGTAATTATTGATAAGTATGTAGTTATTGCCATTTTATTAATAGTTTCCTGATTGTCTTTGTAGTTCTCTGTTCCTTTCTTATTCTCTTGCTCTCTTCTCTCTTTTTAAAAAATGTATTTTATTGATTTTTACAGAGAAGAAGGGAGAGGGATAGAGAGTTAGAAACATCGATCAGCTGCCTCCTGCACACCCCCTACTGGGGATGTGCCCGCAACCAAGGTACATGCCCTTGACTGGAATCGAACCTGGGAAGACGCTCTATCCACTGAGCCAAACCGGTTAGGGCTCTTGCTCTCTTCTCTTGTATGTTGATAACTTTCCGTAGATTCCTTTCTCTTTATTTCTGTGGATCCCTTCTTTATTTCTTGAATACCTTGTAGACCTTGAGTTTGTGGTTGCCATGTTTGTGGTTGCCAGGCATCTATTTTAAGTTGCTGGTTGCTTAATTTCAAACACATCCCTACCAGTTTTACTTGATCCCTCCACGTTTGTTCTGTCATTTTTTCACTTTTTGTGTATGTATGTTTGTGTGTATTCCTTAAGTTGCTGTTATAATTACACATAATCTTTCTACTTTTGCCTTTTAACCTTAAACTAGTTTTAGTGTTGGGTAATCTATGACTTTTATTATGTGTTTGCCTTTGTCAGTGAGAATTTTTTTTGCGATATGTTCTTACTCATATTTTTTCTTCTTCTTCAAGAAGTCCCTTTAACATTTCTTGTAATACTGATTTGATGGTGATGAACTCCTTCAGCTTTTTCTTGTCTGGGAAGCTCTTTATCTGTCCTTTGATTTTAAATGATAGCTTTGATTTTAGAAGATAGAGTAATCTTGGTTGTAGGCCCTTGCTTTTCAGCACTTTGAATGTTTTGTGCCAATTCCTGTCTAGTGCTCTTTTCACAGTGCTGTATTACAACTCTAGTTGTTGCAGTCCTCTTTTATTGTGTGCATGAGCTAAGTATTTGATTCTAATGATTTGACTTGTTAGGTTGTATATGTGTAGAACAATCTCTAATTTTCAGACTCTTGGGGTGACTGGCAGAGCCCCAGTTCTTTGGTGAAATAAAACTGTTCCAAAGACTGAGGAGAGATGTAGTATATTAATAGAATCATATGTGGTATATAATAATGTATAATGTATATAATAGTGTATAATGAACACTTTATAATGAATTAATAGAGAATGGGATAAGCATGATGGATTGATTGGGGACACTTCTCTGCTTCCTAAAACAATTATGACAATCTGTACTCTAACATTCAAGAACTGGCAGAGTAGATATAGTTGGATACTCTAGATCTACTCAGGACAGTGGTAAAAGAGCCATCAAATGTCATTTATTGCTTTTCTTCCCAGGTCTCCTGGACTCATTGGTAGAAATGAACACAATCCTGGAAGATATTCAGAAGTCTCTGGATATGTATTTAGAGACCAAACGCCATATTTTCCCCCGCTTCTATTTCCTGTCCAATGATGACCTCTTGGAGATTCTGGGCCAGTCTCGCAACCCAGAGGCTGTGCAGCCACACCTCAAAAAATGCTTTGACAACATCAAATTGCTGAGAATGCAGAAGGTAAATAGAGTTGGCTATAATGAGATGAAGGGCAGGGGAGGATGTTGAGGTCAAGCTATTCAAGGCCTTGAAGGAGACAATGTCCTCCCAATGGGAGGGGGATATTAATGATTCTGGATTATGTGGGATAGAACTTTTTAGAATTGGTAATATTGAGGGGAGAGGAGCAGACATTACTCTCAAAGGGATCCAAACACCATCTAGGCAGATTCTAGGAGTAAGCAGTCCAGGCCATTAATATCTTCTTATTTCTACAGCTTGGGGGGCCCAGCAGCAAATGGGAAGCTCTGGGAATGTTTTCAGGTGATGGCGAATATATTGATTTCCTCCACTCGGTAATTTTAGAAGGGCCTGTGGAGGTGAGTTGTGGCAAAGGTTTAAGAATCAAGTTGATTTTATTCCCGTTAGGAAATTTGCTTGCTCTGTGAGGAGAGAACATCTCTGTGAAGGGATATTAACCACGTTTTGCCCTTCCTGAAAACTGTAATCTCTACGGTGACCCCAAAAATCTGTCATCTGGCCTCCATATCCCCCAGGGGCCCAAGCCAGATACTACCCAGGTTCTCCTTTTATCTTTGGTCCATGCCCTGCAGTTCTGTTGCTTAAGCACCTTTCCTGTGGGGACTCTTGTCTTGGCCTCTGAGGCCGAGCCATCCTGTTCTCTCACCTCTCCTCAGTCCTGGCTTGGCGATGTGGAGCGGACCATGAGGGTAACCCTACGGGACCTTCTCCGGAACTGCCGTCTGGCCCTCAAGAAGTTTCTTAACAAGAGGGACAAATGGGTGAAGGATTGGGCTGGCCAGGTGAGCTCGGGTCAATAGAAATGAAGGAACAAGAAACATAGGGCTGAAAGGGAGCAGCAAAGGTAAAGACAAAATCTTAAATATGAAAATGCTGGTACAAAAAAAAAAAATGCTGGTTTCTTGTGCCCCTGCTCTGGGCCTAGGCCCTGGAACCCCGCATGCCAGACCCTTAGCTCCTAACTTTAAGTATGTGCCCCACCCTTCAGAGCAGATTAGCATATGAGAGAGGAGTAGCGCCTGGTCCCTGGATATGGGAGCTGGGCTGTGTGGGTAGCCAGGGACAGGGTTTCGGAATACAGCCTCTGTACATGTGGTAGATGGTGATCGCTGCCAGTCAGATCCAGTGGACGGCTGATGTCGCCAAGTGCCTGCAGACAGCTAAGGAGCGGGGAGACAAGAAAATCCTCAAGGTCATGAAGAAGAAGCAGGTGGGGAACCCTACAAGTACAGGATGGGCCTGGAGTTAGAGTTGGAGGGAGGGAGTGGTAAATTGGAGTCAGAATTAGAGATGAGCTGGTGGGAAAGGGTCAGAATGAGGGTGCTTTATGGGAGAAGTCAGTGAGGAAAGTTTGGGTGGAATAGAAGTACCTTTTTCTATGCTGATATTGGGGATCTGGAGTTAGAGTGGGGTTGGGATTAGCTTGGGGTTGAAAGTTGAGTTAGGCTGGGATGAGGTGGAATTGACTTTGATTGCATTGATCCATCTGCTCTCTTCCCTGCCACCTCATTCTGCAGGTGTCAATACTGAATAAGTATTCAGAAGCTATCAGGGGGAACTTGACCAAGATCATGCGGCTTAAAATTGTGGCTCTGGTGACCATAGAAGTTCATGCCCGAGATGTGTTGGAGAAGCTTTATAAGAGTGGCCTCATGGATGTCAATGCTTTTGAGTGGCTCAGCCAACTGCGCTTCTACTGGGAGAAGGTGCAGATGGGCCAGCTCCCCACTCTTGTACCTTAAACCCAATCCTAATGCATTAATTAAATTCCTATTCTCTAAATACAATAATATTCTAATCTAAGCCTTAGTCCTATTACAGTGCCCTAATCTAGTTCTTAACTCCGTCGCAAGTCTCTTAAATCAGAAATGGCAACCATTTTCCAGTTGGTATTCACTATGGGTGTCGCTTGACCAGAACTAGAAAGACTGCTGCGATGGACTAGGGTTGACATGCAGTGAACTCAGTGTCCACCTTGGCTATTCACTCTTTCCTCTTTCTAACTCTAAACGGAACCCCTCACCTTCTAACTCTGACCTCCTTGCATCACCAGCCCTACTCTCAGTCATTGCCCAGCTCTAACTCTTCCTCTAAGCCCACCTCTCTCTGACTCTGCCATTTCTCCAGGATCTGGATGACTGTATCATCCGCCAGACCAACACACAATTCCAGTATGGTTACGAGTACCTGGGTAACTCTGGCCGGCTTGTCATCACCCCCCTTACAGACAGGTCAGCATGTGGGATGAACACGGTGTTTGGGTGGGGGCAGCGAATGCCAAGTGAAGGCTCCCAGGAGTCTGACTTGAGTCCTGTCCTGAATTCTCAGGTGTTACATGACACTGACGACAGCATTACACCTGCATCGAGGGGGCTCCCCCAAAGGCCCAGCAGGCACGGGAAAGACCGAGACCGTCAAGGACCTGGGCAAGTCCCTTGGCATATATGTCATCGTGGTCAACTGTTCCGAGGGCCTGGACTACAAGTCCATGGGCCGAATGTACTCAGGCCTGGCCCAGGTCAGCCTCCTGCCGTCCTGTCCCAGAGGCCCCTTAAATGTCTTTAGTCCCAGAAAATCAGCTGGAACCCAAATCTGATTTAGTGCTTTGTCACTGACAACATCACATCACCTCAGTTCTTAAAATTGTACCTCCCTGAACTGCACTCTGCTTATTTGCAAAATCAGAAGATTCTCTAAGGATTAAATAAGTTAATGCCTGTAAACTGGTGCATAGTGTATGCACTCAGTGTTCCCAAGTTCTCTACCCGTCTCTTTCCAACTCACACCTTCTCTAGCATTCCCCCGGATTGTCCCTGTCTGATGGAAAGCTCTGGCCAGAAACTACAACAGCACCATGCGCCCACTGCCCACTTCCCTGCCCCCCTCACCTATCAGAACACTCCAGGCAGGGCTATGTTAGTCACACCTTCTAGTTTCTCCCAACCTGGGGTACTTCTCTTGCTGCCAGTGAATCTGCCTCCCACCCTTACAGACAGGTGCCTGGGGCTGCTTTGATGAGTTTAACCGCATCAACATTGAGGTGCTGTCAGTGGTGGCCCAGCAGATCCTGTCAATCCTATCCGCCCTGGCTGCCGGCCTCACCCGCTTCTATTTTGAGGGTTTTGAAATAAATCTGGTGTGGTCCTGTGGGATCTTCATCACCATGAATCCTGGTAAGGGCCAGGGAATAGATGGGGCTCCAGGAGCAGGGGGAGAATTGGGTGTCCAGGGCAAACAACTGTCCTGCCAGGCCCGTGTATTTAGCCAAGTAAAATATGGCTAATGACAACGAAGTATGAGAGAAGAACAAACATACGACTTTCTGGGAGAAGGGGAGGCTACGTGTATAGAAAGTGAGGCAAAAGTAGGTTTATAGTTGTGAGCACACAACATATAGAGCTTATTCTTGTATTATTATTTATTAACTAGAGGCCCAGTGCACAGATTCGTGCACATTGAAAGGAAATTAATTAAAAGTTGGCTGGTGGGGCAGGACTGGGCCAGAAGGGCATCTGCAGAGTGAGCAGGGTCCCACAGCAAGTGGGGTCCCTCGGCCTGGCCTGCGGGGATCGGGCAGAAACCAGCAGTCCGACATCCCCCAAGGGGTCCTGGAGTGTGAGAGGGCACTCTGCAAAGTTGCTGTTGCTCAGCAGCTCCTGCATTGAGCGTCTGCCCCTGGTGGGCAGTGTGCATCATAGCTACTGGTTGGAGCATCTTTCTCCTGGTGGTCATTGCACATCATAGCTACTGGTTGGACAGTCGCTTAGGCTTTTATATAGATTACGGTATTATTTTTCCATATGAACAACTGTAAACCCTGTATATATAGCCCTAGGCTTTGAAAGTACTTAACTATCTTCTCCCGTTGAACTAGCTCCAGGAGTTCTATCTGCCATCCCTGTTGAAAATGGGAGAATCTCCCCAAAGTGAGGCAGTAGGGTCTCTCATTACTGTTCTCTAGGAATAACTCTGACAGAAGGGTCTAGGCCAGGGGTGGGCAAACTTTTTGACTCGAGGGCCACAATGGGTTCTTAAACTGGACCGGAGGGCCGGAACAAAAGCATGGATGGAGTGTTTGTGTGAACTAATATAAATTCAAAGTAAACATCATTACATAAAAGAGTACGGTCTTTTTTTTTTTTAGTTTTATTCATTTCAAACTGGCCGGATCCGGCCCGCGGGCCGTAGTTTGCCCACGGCTGGTCTAGGTAAAAACAGGAAAGGGTTTAGGTACCGAAAGAATCAGAGATGCAGCTGTGATTTCTATTAGGCCTGACATTATAAATGGAACTTGGAGAGATGGGAAACTGGCAGCTCTGTGATTTGAATTTGGAATAAGGCCACACAGAAAGTAAGGAAAGGCCTAGAGATTGGAAAGAGGAGCAGATTGGTATGGGAGGAGCCAGGGCCCAGATGAGAATGGAAGAAATCTTGGAGGTGGAGTTGGGGAGAAAGTTAGGATGGAGCGAGGGGAGGGGAACATGGGACTGACTGGGAAGTGAGTCTTGGGGAAGCAGTATAGATTCTAAACAAATGGCTCTGTTTTCCAGGCTATGCTGGTCGTACAGAGCTTCCTGATAATCTTAAATCCATGTTCCGTCCAATTGCCATGGTGGTGCCTGATTCAACTCTTATTGCAGAAATCATTCTCTTTGGGGAGGGCTTTGGCAACTGCAAGGTATTCCGACAATCTCTTTTTCCCCAATTATTTTATTTTCCTTCCATGATTACTCCCTGGACAGAGGAACTTCCTGAAGGCCCCACAGTCAGTTCATCCTATAAGGAATGCCCTGTTAATAGGATATGGAGGCAGAGGTCTCCCCTCTGTGTGAAGTTACAAGTCCATGATTATGCAATTGACAAGACCTCATTGGGATTGTCCATAGAGCAACTCCCAGCTGTTTCAAGTCCTGGGACTTAGCTTCTTGTATCTGTAACTTTTCCTAAATGAAGCAGAAGGGTTTGTGGAGAGAGAGGTTGTTTCCTCCTCTGTTTCCATTCCCCAGATTCTGGCCAAGAAGGTGTACACACTGTACTCCCTGGCTGTGCAGCAGCTCTCCAGGCAGGACCATTATGACTTCGGCCTCCGGGCCCTCACCTCCCTTCTGCGCTATGCTGGCAAGAAGCGCCGCCTGCAGCAGGATCTGTCTGATGAAGAGGTAGGTCAAGGACCCGGCTCTTGACACCTCCATTGTCACTGGTCCCATGCACCTTCACTGAAGTTTTTCAGATCCTTTCTTTCCCTAGATTAGGATTCCCACCTTTCTTCCTGTCCCCTGTGTTGCCCGATTTTACCTGTCACATTTTTTAAAATAAGTTTTTATTGATTTTTAGAAAGAGAGGAAGGGACAGGGATAGAGAGATAGAAACATCGAGAGAGAAACATCATCGATCGGCCGCCTCTGCACTCTCCTTATTGGGATCAAGTCCGCAACCTGGACATATGCCCTGACTGGGAATCAAACCAGGGACCTCTTGGTTCCTGGGTCAATGCTGGCCAGGCTACCTGTCATATTTTAATTTAATTTTTAAATATATTTTTATTGATTTCAGAGAGGAAGGGAGAGGGAGAGAGAGAGAGATAGAAACATCAATGATGAGAGAGAATCATTGATTGGCTGTCTCCTGCATGCTCTTCACTGGGGATCAAGCCTGCAACCCGGGCATGTGCCCTTGACCGGAATCGAACCCGGGACCCTGCAGTCTGTAGGCTAACGCTCTATCCACTGAGCCAAACCAGCTAGGGCATGTCATGTTTTTAAAGACTAGCTCAGGTATAGCCATTGTTCTTGGCTCTCGCCCCTCACGCTTTGGAGAGGAAGGGCTTAGTGAGCACCTAGGTCCTAGCTCCTCCAGCCCGAGTCTTTGTCTTCTCACCCAGGTTTTGCTGCTCTCCATGAGAGATATGAACATCGCCAAGCTGACGTTGTCCGACGTGCCACTGTTCAATGCCATCGTGCAAGATCTCTTCCCCAGCATTGAGCTGCCTGCCTTTGATTATGGCAAGGTATGTGCTCCCTGATGCGCTTCCTGCCCTCAGATGTGAATGCAGATCTGGAAACATGACACTTGGTTCCCAGGCCTTGCTCTGCTCTTCACTAGCTGTACCTGAGCAAGACAGTTGGCCTCTAGGAAAAGGTACAGACCTAGTCAAACATTCTGCTCTCTCACCACAGCTCCCTATTTCTCCCCAGCCCCCAGCTCACTGGCTCGGGTACTTCCACTCATTGATACTTTGGCTTCATTGAGATCTCGAATCCACTGGCTTTTCTACTTTCTCTATACCTGCCTGCCCGCTCCTGACTCGGCTTCTCTCCTCATTTAGGGAGTTTTGAGGGGAGACTGCTAGGAACTGTTTAGTAGTGAGGGCAGTGGGATGGAAGGAGGGTGGTGGAGGAGGATTTTAGAAAGTACAGGAATTTTCTTCTCTGGCAGTGGTAGTTTAAATACCCTGAATTATCCTTTCCATTGAAACCACTAAAATTCTGGATAAAAATAAAAAAATACATATTTTTAAATACATTGCTAAGCTGGAAAGAAAGAAAATATTCTGGGATGGGGAGAGGAAATAAAAGCAGGAAGATAAGTGAGTGTAACAGGTGGCTTTCTTATTGAATTTAAGGAACTGGGGAGAGGAGAGAAAGTGGCCCAAGTTTGGAGGTATAATAGAACACCCAGTCCTGCATGAACTTCAGTCTGGGAGGGGAAACACCCTCAGTAAATGGAAAAATGAGAAGCCCACCATTGAAAAGGGTCCATACAGTAAAGATATTTGCTTGTTTTGACAGATAATGGGAGGAGAGGGCAAACTTTTTGAAATTTCCTCACTGCAGGTCAGCCCTTGCATCGTTTATGGTCATAATTTATTCTACTGTGTAATCCCCAAAATCTCAAACTTAAAGCTTAATTTTAAGTAGTTCTAGATTGTTAGCTTCCTCCAGGTGACTGGCAGAAGCAAATGCAATTTATTTATTTATTTTTAAAATATATTTTTTTATTGATTTCAGAGAGGAAGGGAGAGGGAGAGAGAGATAGAAATATCAATGATGAGAGAAAATCATTGATTGGCCGCCTCCTGCACTCTTCCTACTGGGGATTGAGTCTGCAACCCGGGCCTGTGCCCTTGACCAGAATCAAACCTGGGACCCTTCAGTCCACAGTCAGTCCACAGGCCGACACTCTATCCATCTCTAGAAATTGTCTAGGGCAGCAAATGCAAATTATTTATGGAAGAGGAATTTCTGGAAGCCTCAAAGAATTATCACAAAAATTCAGGATAGAAGTCCAAGAAAATGAACAACTTCTGGTATAAAGTCACAAAACACACAAGGGGACAAGTACAGCTGAATTAAATCCCCAAAGACTTCAGATATTGAAAATGATCAGCACAGAATTTAAAAATAACCAAATTTAATATGTTTAAAGAAATAAAAGCTTGAAACTATGAACCAGGAACAAGAGACTTCTAAATTAAGTAGATTTGAAAAAGAGCCAATAGAATTTCTATAAATGAAAAAATATTATGATTGAGATTTAAAACAACTACTCTCTATATAGAGTACTTCCAGGTAAAGAAGGTGGATTAAAAACAATTTTGTTAACTTTTGAAAATCCACTACAATATTCTAAGGATATTTTTATAATAAGGCATCTATATCCAAAAGGATGGAGAGGATGGAAGAAATGGAACAAAAATTTTAGACATAAGAAACAAATGGAGCCCTAGCCGGTTTGACTCAGTGGATAGAACGTCGGCCTGTGGACCTAAGGGTCTCGGGTCCAGTTCTGGTCAAGGGCACATACTTCGGTTGCAGGCTCCACCCTGGCCCGTGCCCTGATCAGGGCGTGTGCAGGAGGCAACCAACCGATGTGTTTCTCCCACATTCATGTTTCTCTCTGTCTTTCCCTCTCTCTTCCACTCTCTCTAGAAATTAATGGAAAATATCCTCATGTGAGGATTAAAAAAAAAGAAACAAATGAATAAGTTGTAACTTAGCAAACTGAGAGGGCTGGAAGTGGGGAAAACTGAGAGGCAATTCTCCAAAGGCTAAGCATTTGTGGTATTAAATGCCTCTGTAAGTCCGGGTCCAGTTCCGGTCAAGGGCACATACTTGGGTTGCAGGCTCCACCCTGGCCCGGGCCCTGATCAGGGCGTGTGCAGGAGGCAACCAACTGATGTGTTTCTCTCACTTTCATGTTTCTCTCTGTCTTTCCCTCTCTCTTCTACTCTCTCTAGAAATTAATGGAAAATATCCTCATGTGAGGATTAAAAAAAAAGAAACAAATGAATAAGTTGTAACTTAGTAAACTGAGAGGGCTGGAAGTGGGGAAAACTGAGAGGCAATTCTCCAAAGGCTAAGCATTTGTGGTATTAAATGCCTCTGTAAGTAGGGAATAGAGGAGGTGTAGCTAAAATAAGGACTGGAGGTAAACTGTCTTGGAAGGTCTTTAGATCTTCCCTTCTGTGTGACCCCAGATGACTATGTCTCTCCCACTTTGGCAGAAGACTAGAGGGTAAAATAGTAGGTCTCCGGACAGGGGACAGATATAGTTCAGGGCATGAGTGCACCCTATTAAAAATGGGGATTTCCCTGGCTGTGTGGCTCAGTTGGTTGGAGCGTTGGCCTTTACACCAAAAGGTTGCAGGTTCACTTGGTCAGGGTACATACCTAGGCTGCAGGTTTGATCTCTGGTTGAGAGAATACGGGAGGCAACCTATCAATGTTTCTCTCCCCTCCCCCTCTCTAAAATCAACAAACACACATCCTTGGGTGAGGATTTAAAAAAAGAAGGTGGGGGGTGGATTAAGTGAATGTTTATACATTGATTAGACTGTCTTCTTTCATATCTCAGCTCCCAGAATACTGGCAGCCAGATAGAAAATTGGAAGAGTTTTCTCTGGAGAATCTGTCTAGCAAGCCTAAGAGGAATGACCAAAACATTGAGAATAGTAACTTCCCAATGCAGGTCCTAGAAAAATCATCTACAGGGATACTCACAGTCTACACTGAGTGGCCAGATTATTATGACCACCTGACGTTTGTAGGCAAATTAGCTATAATTTCTCGCTGAAGTTGCTAGAGGGCCAGACCATTATAAATAGGGAAGCAGATTGTTTACCACGACAGTAGAAGTGATTTTTTCCCTGAAGATATGGGTAAACAACTCAATTTAACAGCCTTTGAACGTGTGATATATATATATATCAGGGCTTCCATTCAGTTTTTAGTTCTCCACCCTTATATATGAGCAGAAAACCAGGAGTCACACACATCCGAGGAAAGCCTCTAATAAGAAAGCAGCCAAAATAAATAGGAAAAAGCAAATAGGAGAAAACAGGTAGTGCAGAGAAAAGTTAAAAAAAATCATTGTAGTCTCAGTGGTTAAGATAAGTTTAAGATATTGTCACCATGATATACTATTAAAAAAGAAATGTTCCAGAAAATAGCGTAGACAAAGGGGAAAAGAAGTAAGATTCAAAAGCCAGCTAGGAAGGACAACAGCCAAATAATCAGAGTTCCAAAAGCAGGACCAGAGAAAATGGAGAGGGGGCAGGATCAATAGTGAAACAATCAAGAAGGACCCCCAGAACTAAGTTTCCAAAATGAAAGAACCGCCCTAGCCGATTTGGCTCAGTGGATAGAGCGTCGGCCTGCAGACTGGGGGGTCCGGGGTTCGATTCCGGTCAAGGGCATGTACCTTGGTTGCAGGCACATCCCCAGTAGGAGGTGTGCAGGAGGCAGCTGATCGATGTTTCTCTCTCATCGATGTTTCTAACTCTTTATCTCTCTCCCTTCCTCTCTATAAAAAATCAATAAAATATACAAAATGAAAGAACCCACAAGCATATGACAGACACAATGGATAAAGTCCTTACCAACACCCATCATTGTGATTTTTTTTTTAAGTCCTCACCTGAGGATATTTTTTCCAGTGATTTTAGAGAGAGTGCAAGAGAGAGGGAAAGACAGAGAAAAACATCTGCATTGATTGGTTGCCTCCTGACCAGGGCCCGGGCCGGGGAGGAGTGTGCAATCACGTTACATGCCACTGACTAGAATTGAACCCAGGACCCTTCAGTCCACAGGCCTATGCTCTATCCACTAAACCAGTGGTTCTCAACCTTCTGGCCCTTTAAATACAGTTCCTCATGTTGTGACCCAACCATAAAATTATTTTCGTTGCTACTTCATAACTGTAATGTTGCCACTGTTATGAATTGTAATGTAAATATCTGATATGCAGGATGGTCTTAGGCGACCCCTGTGAAAGGGTCGTTTGACCGCCAAAGGGGTCGCAACCCACCGGTTGAGAACTGCTGCGACTAAACCAAACCAGCTAGGGCCACCATTGCGAAATTTTGAAACACCAGTAGAAGGAGAAGATTTAACAAGCTTTCCAGAGAGAGAGAGAGAGGAGAGAGAAAGAGAGAAAGGTAACATGCAAATGACCAAGGGCTTTATAATAGTAATACAGAATTTATAAACAATGGAGCAGCCTTTAACTCCATTCTGAAGGAAATGATTTTCAACTTCAAATTCTATTCCCAGCCTGTCACATGAGAGGCTAGATAAGAGATATTTCAGACATGCGGACTCTCAAAAAATATTGCCTGCAATAGAAAGCTGCTAGAAAGTATGCTCTACCAAAATGCTGGAGCGTACCAAGAAAGGAGAACTGAGGACAGGGAGGCTAGCTGGCCACTGACAAAGAGAAGCCGGTCTAGATCGGAGTGTATCAGAATGCTTCAGGAGGACTCCTGAAGGAAGAAATTCATGCCTAATGTGATGAAATGTTTTGAGAGATTTAGTTAACCGACAGAGTTTGAAGTTGAATTAGAGATTAGTATATTAAAAATGAAGCAAACAAAATACAGCAGCGATTAACCTCTAGGGCAGTGATGGCGAACCTATGACACGCGTGTCAGAGGTGACACGCGAACTCATTTTTTTGGTTTATTTTTCTTTGTTAAATGGCATTTAAATATATAAAATACATATCAAAAAT